TTGTTGATTTGCAGCTGAAATGAAATAGATTGGTAATAATCCACAACATCAATGAATTGATGAACCAGAATCAATGTTTGAATCCTCCCCTTACTGTTAGCCACCCAAAAAGTCCACCATAGCCATCCTACGCCACCCTATAATACTTGGATGGGCCGGTGGCTATGGCAGACCATCGTTCCGATATTTAAAGGAAAGCACAATGCTACAGTACCTCTCCCACTATGGCTGCCATGCCACACTCTATTCCCAGACTCTTCCTTGCCACCATAGCACGCTCTACCCCCGGAGTCTTCCTTGTAAGTATCACCCGACTTGGGTTCTTCCAGGTGCAGCGTCAACCAAGAAGATGAAGATGTAGACCACCATAGTCAAGGCAAACTCCCTCCTTTTCTCTCCTCCTTCGTCTTCGTCCTTCTTCTTCTTCCTCACTCCATAGCCATGTCTCCCTCCACCTCCGCCTTGGTTACCTTCACCGTAGCCAAGTCATCCTCCTCCCATGCCTTGGTCGCTCCTGCATAGCCATATCTTCCTCCCCTTGGCAGAACACAACAATCTCTGCAAATCAGTCTAACACCCAACAATACTCAGAAAACAACACATTTCTGTCTGCAATTTTGCAGGTCATTACAAATTGATTTTTTGACCATTTCCTCAGACTTGCACAAACTCATAAGGTGGTTGAACCTGGACAATCGGCCCAAAACTCAATTGACCGACGAACCAAACTATCAATCACTCAACCAACCAACCGTTCAATCAACCAACCAATAAATAAATTAACCATCCAATCAACCAACCAACCAATCAGTCCATACATCTATCACACACACACACACACACACACACACACACACACACACACACACACACACACACACACACACACACAATCAGTTTTATGGTTGTCTGTTTTCCTTCTGTTGTTTATCCTCCCTCTGATTTTTTCGAAGTATTTTTGCTTACGAAACTGAGCACCCTTAAGTAGTGCCAAACAGTCAGTGGTTCCTCTTTTGGAGTGCCTACTGCACTTTTAGGGGGGCTGCTCAGTTGAGGATGTCTGTGTTGCCTTTGAGTGATGACGGATGCTCGTCGGAGTGACTCCCAGGCTCAGTGGGTGGTGGGAACCAACAATCTGCGGGGTTCAATCGTGATGTGAGTAGGTCATGTGCTGCTTTGCTCCGTATTGGATGTGTGGACTGCCTCGTCTGCGCTCTGTCATTGCCTTGCTGCCTGTCCCGCTTGCTTCGCATGTGGTTCTTTGCAGGTTGATGTGTTCACTGTGTGGTGTGGCCGTGTTGTTTGTGTTGCCTTTGCGCTTCGCTGCTCCGCTGCCTTGCTGCTCATCCGCTGGCCGTGCCTTCCATGTCCTTTGCTTGTGCGCCTTGTAGTTCACTTGCCTTGTAGGTGGTGCCTTGTGCTCCACCGCATGGTAACTGTGCTACTGTACCGCTAACATTGTTGTCCCCTGCTGTTTGGTTGCCTTGCTTCACAGCGTGGTTGCCGCAGTGCTTGTCCTGCGTGCCGTGTCGTTCCTTGCAGTCGTTTTTGGCCTTGTGCAGCCGTGCTGCCTCTACTGTGTTGCCTGGTGCTCTGCAGGGTTGCTTCCCGCTGCTATGTTCCGTTTGCGGGACAATCTGCCTTCAACAAGGGTCAAAGGGTTCATGACCCAAAACATCCAATACGAAAACTCCGCAGATTGTCGAGGGTTCAACCTCCTGATGAGTCGGTGCAAGTTACCATGCAACTCCGACGAAACAGTCTATCATCATCCGTGTTTGTTTATTTTTTTCGCTCTCCGTTTTCCAAACTTGGTATCGCTATTTCGTGCCTTTTTCACTTGTTGCTTTATGTTGGTTGCCTGCCCACCCTCCTCCCCCATGTCCTCCACCCTTTGTGACTTGTAGCCTCTTTTTGTCCCGTGCTTTGTTACCTAACCATCATTCACCTCACCGTGTTTTGCCTTAATGGCCTCTGCATCGTGATATTCCATGAGCATCTCAGCTGGGCGCATGATGACACCTCACCTTCTAATGAGCCTTGACGGGAGCAAGTGCTAAAAAGCGTGTGAAGGGATGTGTCATCCCTCCTCTATTGGTCATGATGCTTATGCCATCGTTGCTCCCCACTCTTCCTCTCTCCTCCGCCATCTTCTCTTCTATTGGCCTTTGGACTTATTCGTAGGTATTCATGGTATGCGGCATGAGCCAGACCGACGAACCGGGGAACGAGGTTCAACATTAGGTGAGTGAATCAATCACGAGGTTCCCGTGTATCGGGTTGCTTTGTTATATTACTTTACACACACATGCGGACCACAATGGTCTTGATCGCAATGCAGGGGTAGACTCCACCTACCGACCTCATCACCTGATTCAACCCTCATGTGGATGCGTACACCACTTCCCATGGCTGCATACATGACCCTTACGCTTACCAACGATGACCTTTGATTAACACATGTCCCTCTAGTTCCGTACTGCTTGCCCGTACTGTATGCTTCTTAGATGCGATTAAGGCCTGTGTGGTTTTGCATGGAGTATGCACTTGTTGCTTTGTTGGCGTAAGTTGTGTATGTGTTTGTTTGTGTGAGTATGCGAAGTCAGGGGCACCTGGCCGGATGGCCTACTGCCCTAGGATACTAGTCCATCCGGCCCTTCCTTATGGAGGGATAGGGGAGGGACACACAGACACAATCAATTTTATGTTTGTCTGATTTCCTTTTGTTATTTATCCTCCCTCTGAGTTTTTTCAAGTATTTTTGCTTACCAAACTGGGCACCCTTAAGTAGTGTCAAGCAGTCGGTGGTTCCTCTTTTGGAGTGCCTACTGCACTCTTAGGGGGGATGCTCAGTTCCGGATGTCTGTGTTGCCTGTGAGTGATGACAGATGCTCGTCGGAGTGACTCCCTGGTGCAGTGGGTGATGGGAACCAACAGTTTGCGGGGTTCAATCGTGATGTGAGAAGGTCATGTGCTGCTTTGCTCCGTGTTGGATGTGTGGAATGCCTCGTCTGCGCTTTGTCGTTGCCTTGCTGCCTATCCTGCTTGCTTCGCATGTGGTTCTTTGCAGGCTGATGTGTTCACTGTGTGGTCTGGCCGTGTTGTTGGTGTTGCCTTTGCGCTTCAATGCTCCGCTGCCTTGTTGCTCATCAGCTGGTCGTGCCTTCCATGTCCTTTGCTTGCGCACCTTGTAGTTCACTTGCCTTGTAGGTGGTGCCTTGTGTTCCACTTCATGGTAACTGTGCTACTCTACCGCTAGCATTATTGTCCCCTGCTGTGTGGTTGCCTTGCTTCACAGCGTGGTTGCCGCAGTGCTTATCCTGCGCGTTGTGTCGTTCCTTGCAGTCGTTTTTGGCGTTGTGCAGCTGTTTTGCCTCTACTACGTTGCCTGGTGCTCCGCAGGGTTGCTGCCCGCTGCTATGTTTCGTTTGCAGGACAGTCTGCCTTCAACAAGGTTCAAAGGGTTCATGACCGAAACCATCCAATACGAAAACTCCGCAGATTGTCGAGGGTTCAGCCTCCTGATGAGTCGGTGCAACTCCGACGAAACAGTCTGTCATTAACCGTGTTTGTTTATTTTTTTCGCTCTCCGTTTTTCCAAACTTGGTATCGCTACTTCTTGCCTTTTTCACTTGTTGCTTTGTGTTGGTTGCCTGCTCACCCTCCTCCCGCATGTCCTCCGCCCTTTGTGACTTGTCACCTCTTGTTGTCCCGTGCATTGTTACCTAGCCATCACTCACCTCACCGTGTTTTGCCTTAATGGCCTCTGCATCGTGATATTCCATGAGCATCTTAGCTGAGCGCACGATGACACCTCACCTTCTAATGGGCCTTGACGGGAGCAAGGGCTAAAAAGCGTGTGAAGGGATGTGTCATCCCTCCTCTATTGGTCATGATGCTTATGCCATCGTTGCTCCCCACTCTTCCTCTCTCCTCCTCCATCTTCTCTTCTATTGGCCTTTGGACTTATTTGTGGGTATTGATGGTATGCGGCGTGGGACAGACCGATGAACCGGGGAACGCGGTCCAGCATTAGGTGAGTGAATCAATCACGAGGTTCCCGTGTATCGGGTTGCTTTGTTATATTACTTTACACACACATGCGGACCACAATGGTCTTGATCGCAATGCAAGGGTAGACTCCACTTGCCGACCTCATCGCCTGATTCAACCCTCATGTGGATGCGTACACCACTTCGCATGGCTGCATACATGACCCTTACACTTACCATTGTTACCAACGATGACCTTTGATTAACACATGTCCCTCTAGTTCCGTACTGCTTGCCCGACGTGCTGAATGCTTCTTAGATGCGATAAAAGGCCTGTGTGGTTTTGCATGGAGTATGCACTTGTTGCTTTGTTGGCGTAAGTTGTGTATGTGTTTGTTTGTGTGAGTATGCGAAGTCCAGGGGCACGTCGCCGAATGGCCCAGTGCCCTAGGACACTAGTCCACCCGGCCCTTCCTCATGAACAGCCATTTCGTCAAAACGGACATATTATATTTTTTGAACGAAATCAAAACTGACTTTTTTTGCGAAAATCTGGTCAGAATTTTTTGCTCCTGGGGGTCCGGCGTTCCCAAGACGCCGGACCCCCTACATGTATCTGGTCTCAGCTTGAGACCAGATACCAATTTTTTTTATTTTTTTATTTTTATTATTTTTTTGTATCTGGTCTCAACCGTAGACCAGATACATGTAGAAGGTCCGGCGTTTTGGGAACTCCGGACCCCCCAAGAGCCAAAAATTCCGACCGGATTTTGGCAAAAAAAGTCAGTTTTGATTTCGTTCAAAAAATATAATATGTCCGTTTTGAAGAAATGGCTATTCATGGAGGGATAGGGGGCGGACACATACACACAATCAATTTAATGTTTGTCTGATTTCCTTTTGTTGTTTATCCTTCCTCTGATTTTTTCCAAGTATTTTTGCTTAGCAAACTGAGCACCGTCGAAGAGGCACGGCGACTTCGTGAGGAGGTACAAGATTTGCAGGAGCGTCGCCAATGTGCTCAAACGGAGGTAGACATGCTCAAGGAAAGGCGTGCCAAGGCTGAGGCACAACGTATGGAAGCGGAGGCGGAATTGGCGAGGTTACGAGAGCAGATGGGGAAGTTCTCCACTGATGGCGCTGGTGTGGGAACTCCCCAAGTTGTTCGCACGAACCTCAAAGAAAAGATGGATGACGCTGCGAAAACGGGTTTTCGTACGGGGAGGCGTGGACGTGTGAAGATGACTGCAGGGAGATTGCTGAGGGATGACAGTGCCAGAAAGGCTAATGACAGATATGTTTTCGTGGAGGATGAGAGGAAGCGGCTCAAGGCGCTTAAGAAGGGAGGACTGGAGCCTCTCTGCAAGGAAGCTGGGATCAAATGTAAGACGGTGGAAATTATGGTCGATGAATTGGCCGAACTTAATGCAGAGAAGCGTTTTGGGGGGAGTTGTAGCTCTGATGACAGAACGGATCCGGATCAGGATCATGGTAAGTCCACTTCGGATGATAGCAATGTCGCTGTTGTCGAGGAAGTCCCATCGGATTTCACTTGATGGGACTTCTGAAACGCGGCGCTGTGGGGTCTTGCTAACTCTTGTCGTATTAATAGATCTTCCTCTACTTCTGCTCTCAATGATGCGGCGTGGAATTCTCTTTTTCAAGTGGTTGTGCTGGTTCTGATTCTGCGGGGTTTAATCCCATGGGCTGAGAAATTCCGATCTTATTTTTTGTCCATGGTCAATGGTGACGGTGATCTTTTTCGATGCAAAGGTCCACTTGTCTACGTCTTGTTGTCTCCTTGGCAAAAGCATGTCTATGTGGGATCGACTGGTCGGGCGCTCGATATTAGGTGGGGTGAGTACGTCTATCGTACCTGCAGTAATTTTGTTGTAGAACGTGGGGAGAGGAATCATGCGCTTTACAATTGGTTTCGACGATGTGGCCCGGAACACTATGTGACGCTTCCTTTGTTTCGCTGTGAATCTTCTGATCTTCTCGCCTTGGAACGATTTGTCATCCGTAGATTCAATCCTTTTCTCAACAGTAGGGGGAAACCCGTACGACGAACGTGTCCAAGACCAGACAAACGAGAACGAGCTAAACAGAGGAGGAGGAAACTCCAACTTATTGTGCAAGTGGCTGAGGACCTGAGTAATAATCATGCTTGTTGTTCGCATTTATCCTTTGTGACCGGTGAGGGGGTTCGATCGGCTAGCTTGCTTGGTCTACTTGAGGACGCTAGGTTAAAGGGACGTAAGAACCTTACCGTACGGTGTGTTGGTAGGGAGGTACTCACTGACAAATGGAAAATTGTAAAAAAATGTTTTGGTGGGTCGGTTGTTGAGACTGTATTTGGGGTTGATGCGTTGAAGAGGTGCCGTGGTTTGCTGAAGGACGGGACCACTCTACAATTCCGTTCTATTTTGTATTTCTGCTCCACCATGCTTTGTCTGAAGCCGACTTTGCTTGGTTTTCTGACGGAACCCGGGACACGTGTTTGTCTCCTTGGTTGGGAGTTGGACAAGCTGGTTGGACTCTACTCGGCGATTCGGTGTTTTAAGGAGAAACCAACTCGCTATCAGTTACGTTGCTTGGTGTCTGGGGCAATCAGGCGGCAGTTCGGAATTAGCGTTCCCACTCGTCTTGCTGTTCGCATAACTTATGATGTTTGTCTCAGCAAATGTGCGATTAGGAAGATGTGTTGCGATGTCTTGCGTCAAATGGATGTTCCATATTGCATGCGTGAGATGATGGCTCGTAGGCTAAGAGTGGTGTGGATAGAGAATCAAAGTGTGGGCGATATCTTGTTCAATTTTCATGATGCGTCTAGACAAAGTGAGCACCATTGTGACTGTGCTGGATACGAACAGATGTTTGGACGTGTTCATGAGCATGTTTGTTTTAGGCTAGCATCTGCTGATTTCATACCACCTTTTCTGCGAAACTCTCGAAACATTCCACGTCCTTCTCGTGCTACCTCTCGCCGGAATCTGGCTCGGCAGATAGTTGCTTCTTTTGATCTTGTGCCGCCACTTCCTAATTTAAATCTGGAGTCTATAGGGAATGGCTCACTCGATTCTTGCTTCAACAATACTACAGTGCACTACGACAGTGCTTCTGGGGTAGAATGTGTCCTCAAATGGAAAATGATGTTCGGGGACTTGGTGCGAGTTCCCATTGATCACAACGCTGGTGACACGTTGGTGTGTTGCCCGATGGTCTAGAGGAAGAGTATGGAAGCCTTGTTTCTGAAAAACTCTGGCTTTGTACTTTGTCACAACGAAAAGGCGATTATCGAGACATGTGCGGCTCGTTTCCGTGACGAAGGTTTTGAACGATTGGGTAAGTGGAACGTGGCTGGGACTTTGGGACAGGCGTATTCGGTACCCAAGCACAAGGATATTGCAAAGTGGCTCCCGATCTGTCCCACCTATTCGGAGTGTGGGGTACGGGCAAGTAAGAGGGCGGCACAAGGCATTAATCAGTTACGGTGGGAATTACCTTCGGCCACTAACTTCAATCTCAAAAGTATGGCGGAGCTGGCTTCCACGGTTGGGAAAGTCAATAAGGGGTTGAAGAAGGGTGAGTGTTTTTCAAGTGTGGCATTTGATATAAAAGAGATGTTAACAGCCATTTCGTCAAAACTGACATATTATATTTTTTGAACGAAATCAAAACTGACTTTTTTTGCCAAAATCCGGTCGAAATTTTTTGCTCCGGACGCCCCTGGTCTATGGTTGAGACCAGATACTTTTTTTTTTTTTTTTTTTTTTTTTTTTTGGATCTGGTCTCAACCATAGACCAGGGGGGTCCGGCGTTTTGGGAACGCCGGACCCCCATGAGCAAAAAATTCCGACTGGATTTTGGCAAAAAAAGTCAGTTTTGATTTCGTTCAAAAAATATAATATGTTCTGGTCTCAACCATAGACCAGGGGGGTCCGGCGTTTTGGGAACGCCGGACCCCCATGAGCAAAAAATTCCGACTGGATTTTGGCAAAAAAAGTCAGTTTTGATTTCGTTCAAAAAATATAATACGTCAGTTTTGACGAAATGGCTGTTTGTTCTGTAACTTACCGCACAATACTATTGTGAAAGCGGTTTGCTGGGTTGTAGATTTCTGGGCGATTCGGGGATGTAAGGGAGTTTTGGTCAAACAGAGGGCAAAAGGGGCTAAATTGAGATTTGGGGGCGCGCAACTCGGATGGAAGTCGATTTCATTGGGTGTTCTCGTTGATTTTGTCAGATTCGACCTTGATTGTACCTTCTTCAAAGCCTGTGGGCAAATGCTGCAGCAGAAAGTCGGGATTCCGATGGGTAAGTCGTCCAGTCCGGCACTGGCATGCTTCATGTGTACCTATAACGAGTTCCGGTTCCTCTTGTCTCTTGGATGTAACAGCAAGCTAGGTTGTGGCATACGAATGGTCGATGATGTTTCTGTCTTTGTGCGGTACAAGGATGGTGACCCAGAGTCTTTGGCAGTAGCTCAGTCCATTTTGAGCAGGTTTCGTTATTGTTACGACTCAAATCTCGTGTTGGAACTTACAAGTGACAGCGATTGCTGGGATTTCGTGGGGTGTGTGGTGAAAGTCCTTGATTGGCCGTGGGGTATCCAGTGTATCGCTTTACATAAGAATCAAAGGTTTTTTGGTGAGGATAAGTTGCGTTTCCAGAATCTGCAGGATTTCAACTCTTTTTCTTGCAAGGAACAGAAAATGGCGGTGATTGGATCCTGCCTGCACAGGGCAAAGGCTTACACCACGATGGCAGGTATGGAGGTGGCTTTTCTCCTTACACTCAAAATTGAGCTCAGGAAAAGGAGCTTTCCGGATGCCTACTTTGATAATACCTTGCAGAATTTTTCAAGGAAATTCAGGGGCATTTGGGATGAATGGGTCACTTGCCTGACAGGGTGGGGAGATCTTTTTCTGAAGTAGCTGGACTAAGTTCCTAGTACCAGTAGAAAAGACCGGGTGACTCATGGGGAAGAGGAGGGTTACCTGTTTGATTTTAGTCGACCCACTGTTGGGTCTGTGAAATCCGTGTTTTGTAGATGACAGGCTTTGTAGGTCATTTAGTTGTATAGAGCATGGTAGTGTTGACCCGCGGTCTTAGTGGGGGTACTTGGGCTTACGACTCATTTTGGTTTTTTTCGTTTTTTCTTAATTGTACGATCAAAATTTTCTGAAACGCACTGGGGGTTTGCAGTGACTGAACGAGGTAGTGTTTTCGCAGGTGGCTATAGGAGGTGGCGGTATCTTGGTCCTGTTTCTTTCTTTTCTGTCTGAATCAGGGGTTGCTTGGGGTTATGTTCGGGTACCTTTTCTGCAATTGTGGTCAGGTGACTAGCGGAGGAGCATTCAGCAATACCCTGTTTTCTTTTTTTGGCCTCTGAGCTGGTATAACAACCATTTCGTCAAAACGGACATATTATATTTTTTGAATGAAATCAAAACTGACTTTTTTTGCCAAAATCCGGTCAGAATTTTTTGCTCCTGGGGGTCTGGGACCCCCTATATGTATCTGGTCTATGGTTGAGACCAGATACAGATACATGTAGGGGGTCCGGCATTCTGGGCACGCCAGACCCCCAGGAGCAAATAATTCCGACCGGATTTTGGCAAAAAAAGTCAGTTCTGATTTCGTTCAAAAAATATAATATGTCCGTTTTGACGAAATGGCTGTTGTATTTTCGTC